AAAAACACTCCAACTCATATTTCAGGGACCTGCTCATACAAGGATGGTCTGCTTTAATATAAGGCAATTTCACATTCCAGAACGTCCTCTTTCACATTTAAAATGTTTGCCTTATACTTTCACAAGAATACATTTGATAAGAATATAGTATAACTCATGTTCCAGCACCCACATTTTCCAAAAATTACCAGAGGTAAGCTTTCAAGAAGCCAATTTATCAAGGCTGCATTCATGACTCATTTTTTTCAACATTTTTCTGAAATACACTGTACCAGTTCTTCCACCATTGTGGTTTTCATCTCACCACTCCCATTTTGCACATTTACGAATCCCAAACCCTGGTCACTCTTATGTTCTACATGACACTTCTAAACTGTAGGTCTTTGGGGAAAGCTATCTGCATTTTTTATTTTTTTTTATTCAAATTGTAAGTGTACAGAATGCAATAGTTATACAGATCTACTGATAGAACACATTAGCGATAACTATTAACATGTTTAAATATAAAATTATTACAACGCTGGTACTAATTTCATTTGAGAAAAAAGACAGTTTTTGTTTATTTTTTAAATCTAACGTTAAACTCTAATTTACTGGAAGGTACAGGGATTTTTAAAAATACTAAGAAAAACAAGCTTTTCCAAATCAAAAGTATTTTGAAATCACATTTAGATGTTCTAAAACACCACCAAACATTTGATCTCTTGTTCAGAGAGCAAAGGCTTGTCTTTGACTTAAAAGCATGTAAATTAACTTGCATGGTGAAAACCAGTAAGTTTACATTCTTTTCCTCTAATCTGGGAAGTTGTTGAACTTGAACTTCCAAAGTATTCTACCGGAAGTGATATGGGAATCTATTACATTGAAATGTTTGAAGCTAGAGAACAAGGTAATTAACACTAGACACTATGGATTACCTTTCTCCATGTACCTCATTTCTGGACAGAAAGTACAGCCGTAGTTATTGATGTTTTGGTGGCCTTAATTGGAATTTTGTAATATATAAACTTTATTTTTGCAGGTTTACTTACACAAATGAAATAGTACTATACTAACTGGTATTTCTGGATTTCCACAAAGAGCTCTCACCAGTATAAAACAGATCTGACTAATTAAAAAATCTGCCATCTGCATTCTGAATTTACAAATAAACATTGGAGGTAGACTAGGAAAAGGGCTTTCCCAGCTGCAATCTTCAAAAAGTAGAACATGTTATGGCGACCAATCTTAATTCACTTTTAATGCATAGAGGGGCTTTCAAGAAAAAAAGGCGTCCATTTCAACAGGTTTTAAAACATGGCTTTATAGCTTGCTAGAGTTTATGGATTCCGTGTTCTTGGCTGCTTCTTTGAGATTATTTTGATTTTACTGTGTTATCCTGAAATATTTCCAGCAGTCCTGTATGTAATAGTTAGGTTTTGTTATTAAGTGGGGGTTATTTTAACTATGCCTTTTTGAATGTGAATGGTTCTCACATAATACTAAGTGAAAACAAAGAAGTCCTGTGTCATGCTAAAAAAATCAGGTATTACATTCAGCCAATGAATTCAATGCAACTTACTTTCCAGTAAATTAGATGCAGCAGGTGGGTGGATTGTGATTTTTCAATGAAGGATCAATTAGATAATTTTATAAAAAAAATATTCTGGAGACGAATTTTGACTTGTCCATGATTTGGCATGAGCAAAGATTGTAGATTCATTTTCAACTGAGGCTTCATTTTCCAGGGCATGCCTCCTTCCCTATATATACCCTTCATATACCATACTACTAACATCATTCTGCCCGTAATAAATTACACAAGCTCACTCCATTTTTTTTTTTATGGAAGCAAACAAGGCCAGAAAAATAAAGCCCCAGGTAAATCTGTTCCTCAAATAAATTCAAAGCCCACTTTGCTCCTATTATGTGCCAAGAGAAGTTTGCATTGCCAGTTTTTTTTCCAGAGTAGAGTGCTGTGTCTGAATAATTGTAGTTTAAGACAATCCTGGAAAATGAATTCCCTTCATACCACGTAAACATTTTCTGCAAATGCAGCTATGAAAATAGGAGCCTATATGACCTTTAATTTAAATATTGATCTGTTACTGCCTTAGTAGCTAGGATTTTAATGAATGATTCTCAGTTCAAAATGTCACAGCTGTGGATTGTGAAAATGGCTGTCACAGAATCAGAATAGCTGATGGAGGTGGAATATTTAATTATCATTATTACTGTACAAGCTTTTCCTCTCTTAAGAACACCAATTGTAAACAAAATGGAGTTTTGCAGGGAGAAACATTATAGGAAGTTTATTAAAAAACAAGATTACTTTTAAATTATCTTTTCAAATAGCATGACTGTAATGAACACAATTGGAAACCCATATTCCATCAATCCCCATTCTATATCTTTAGAATCTTTCTCCAAACTCATTCCCATTCCAAATTTTATTGCAAATCATTGTTTACAAAATAAACTTGCCTTGAACAGCTGTATGACAAGTTGAGATACAATTTATTTATTCCAAATGATTTTATGCTACAATAGTCAGATTCTAAGTGGTTTACAATCAATACTGTTATCACAATATAGTGAACAACAAAAATACCCAAAGTTTTAAGCTATCTAAAATAATTTAGGGGAGGGGAGATCTTCTGCATAGAATGTTTACATCTCCAGTTCCCTTTTGTTACACCTCTAAAGGAGTGAGGACTCTACTGAAATCCAAGAAGTCTCAGACAGAGACATTTCATCCTCACTCACCCAGGATTCAGTAATACATGCTGTATGTAGACATACAGCATGTATGTATCTACAATTTTTTTCTACCTTTTATTCTCAATCATGTCACAATTGATGGTCTTATTAAAGGCACACCTAGCATTTAAGAGCATCAATCTGGGACTAGGTCCCCTGCAATCCAGCTGTCTAATTCTTAAGTGTGATCAGGAGGCTGGAAGAGGGGATTGGTCTCAAATTTCCCAATCCCTCACCCTTGGAACAGCTTGCCCCATCGCCTGCAATTACCTCTCTCTGATTATCACTATCCTGATGGTCTTCTTCAGACATCTCTTCACTCCAATCACACTGGGGAACTTTTAAGCATTAAGAACCTCCAGTAGCTTCTATTACCTCACACTCTTCCACAATTCCACCCTTCCCATTTCTTTCCTACCCTCCCATTTGCTCCGTTTTTGGGCAGCAGTTTAAGTGACTGCCCACATTTTTCTCATTTGCTCCACTCTCACCTGGGCAATGGTTAGTGACTGCCTATCATCCTATCCTCTCTCTCTCCCCCAGAGGTCTTCTACTATCTCCACCCTCTTCAATCTCTATCCTCTCCCAACTTTTTTTTCCTTCCTCCCATTTCCCTTCCATTCCTCTTTTTGCAGGTGACTACTTCTCTCCTCCACCTCTCATGGTCTGGGGGAGGGGGGTCTACCTTCACCTCTTCCTACTCAATACACTCCTTTTTCCTCCCCTCCCCAATCCTCTCTTCACTTTTCTTGTGTCCCCCCCCCAAAAACTAATTTTCTAGTGTTTTTTTTCCTCCCTCTTTCCCCCCACCGATCTTGCACAACCAACACTCCCTAAACATCTGGCTCTCGGTTCTCTCGTCTCCCAACGACCCTCAACCGCTGGCTCGATCTCAGGCAACGCACCCTCGGATACCCCCTTCTTCAAGGGAAACTAAGCTCCGTTTCTCCAAACATTCCTCCGGTGTCAACTTCCCCCGTTCTTCATCCCTCCTTTTCTCCCTCCGCCACGCTTTTCTTTCTTTCCTCCGGGCCTCTTTCGGCTCCGAGTGGCTCCCATCGAGGTCGCTCTCTCTTTCTGCCCATTGTGCCGGTCATCTCAGCTCTGTCCCTTCGCTAAACCATCCTTGGGAGTCTGATGGCGGCCTGTCTGGGTTTCCGCCTTCTCTTCCGGTCTCCAGTCAAGCATCCATTGATCTCCGGTGGCTGCCGGAATGGGCTCTGCGGCCTTCGCCGATTCAACGTCCGGGGTAAATTGTGGGTCGGTGGAAAGCGACCCGCCTGCTTTTTCCCCGCCGCAGCCGCTCGGGGGTTTTCCAGCCTGACTCGGCGACCTCCGCCGTCCCTCCAGCCTGGACCGGGTGGTTCTCTCTTAGGTCTCGTCCTGCTTCTTCTCTTTCCACCGTTTCTTTTTCTTCACCTTCAATTCACACAACATCATTCTCTTTCTCGCCCCTCCAGCCTCCCAACCCCCGAGATAGTTCATTCTTACACCTGCGAAAGGCACTTTCCCCTCCTTTCCCAGCAAAGGCACGTCTCCCCCTTTCCTTTCTTTTCCCCTCCCGAACCCCTTGACAGACCCTCGGCCCTCCAACTCCCCCCACCCACCCACACCCCCGGGGCTTCCATGGCCGGTCAGCACCAGCAGCCCACAGAAAGAGCAAATACATGGGCGGTGGGGCGGGGAGGTGTGAGCCAGAGGCACCCTCCCTATTGAAGTGGGGGGGGGGAGTCCATTCACACACCCACGCAGGTGCAGGGTTTAGCTCTCCCGTGACAACTTTTCTCCCACACGCGACTTACTGGCGGCCGCCCTCCTCCGGAGGCAATCACTCCCACCACCTGCCCCCGGGTGAGGGTCGCCGCCGGCTTATCTCTGGGGCGGCCTCGGCCATCTCTTCCCCCCCCCCCAGCTGTTCCCGCAGCAGGAAAAGAAAAGGAGGGCGGGCGCCTCATTCCCCCCGCCAATATTTACCTCAAAGAGCTCGGGCGTGACCGCGGCCAGGGCGCTCCCGTCGCTGTCTCTCTCGCGAATCCGTCCCCTCAGGCCGGCCACCCGGCGCCCAGCCCAGGCCTCCTCCATTGTCTCTTCCCGCAGCGAGGTTGCTCGAGCTGCCGCGTTCGCCGCTCCCGCGGCGGCGGCGGCAACTTCCAACTCCTCCTCCTTCGGAAACCAACCATAGGCCCCCCAAGCGGCCACCGGTGCTGCTCGGCTCGCAGCCGCGGTGAGGCCTGGAAGGTGGCTCCGCCCAAGCGCTTCAGTCAGCTGCTGTCGCCGCCACCGTTGTCGTCTCCTCGGCCCTCTGGTGCAACCACTCTTCGCTCATTTCGGGGGGAAAAAAAGGAGAGACCCGGCGAAGAGGTCGGCGCTGGGACCGAAGGCCTCCTCAAACCGTCACCCAGAGGAGGGACGGGTGGCGGAAGCGCTCCTGGTTGAGGGGGGACCGAGTTGCAGTGGGAGGAGGCCGCGTACTCTGTAAAAGGGGGCTCTCCTCGGCGCAGTTGAGGCCTGTTGTCTCAGGGGGTTTAAAGGAAGCGGTTTCCTATTATGAGGGAAGGCGTTTTTGGAACAAGGACTCTAATTTAGCAGGGACGCCTTAAGAATTTGGGGGCAGAATGCAGCTCCCTTGGCTTAGGAGACTGTCCCCCATGAGGAGGGATTCTGCAAGAGAATCTGCTTTTCCCGCTTGGAGAGAAACCTCTCAGTCGAATAAATACACTGCTGTACATGGAAGGGAAGCTGGGCTTCTTCCTAATTTGGAGGCTTTGCTATAAGGGTTGGGTGGGGATCCTCTTTCTAGAACTGGGCTTTTCAAATTGGGAAGCCCTGCACAAGGAACTGCTGACATAAAAAACTGGGGTGTTTGTTGGGGTGAAATTCCAGGCATAGAATGGGCTGGGTCTAATTTGGGCTGAGGGGGCCTCGGTTCCTTTTGGAAGCCTGTTGTCCAATACATTTAAGATTCCCTAATCTCTCTCCCCTAGATTTTTGTGTGGAATGTAATTAACGAGATAAATGTGTCCTAATAAGTGCCCTGATGGTGTGTCTGTAGAAAGGGAGTTTGGTGGAGAATAAGAGAATCCAATCCTCCCACGCAGAAGCAAGTTGCAGCACTGGAAATGAGAAGGAAGAATTTATGAGCCACATCAAACAATGCCCAGAACTGGAAGTTTCTTGGCAGTAAAACTATCATGGACAAAGTGATCTTCCACTCTGCTAATTATCAGTGATGGCTCTGAGAGGATTATGGCTCATCAGTCATGAGCAAGAGGCACAAAGCACTGTGTTGTTTTCCAGGTAATACGGTATAAGGTCCAAGCCTGTATAACATACATTTTCTTTTACTGCAAATATTGGCACCTTATGCTGATTTTTCTATCATTTTCTGTCTATAGTCTAAAGCAAAACTCATGTGAATTGAGCTAATGGACAGTGAGCATCCTGCAGTCTTTAGAGAATCTATAATTTAGCACAGCATATGTTTGCATGCTGACAGTCTCAGTTTCAGTTTTTGATATCCCTAGCTTTGGTATCTCAAGCAAGTAATGAAAATGAATTGTCTGCTACTACATAGATGCTCTCAGAATATACAAGTGTAGGTTAAAGTGGGCAAACAGCAATTTTACAACTTCTTTCCTTTATAGCCTTGTATAATCCAAATTTACATTGAATTACCAATAAAAACATTTTTATCATATAAGTTAGGAGGACATTGGAGGAAAGACCATTTCTAATGTAAGGTTGTTTTAGAGCTTTTTTCATTCTTCCCAAGGTTCACTGGTAGCCGTAATTCCAAAAGACTGGAATCTTTCATAGAGAAATGTCTGTAATCTATAGTGCCTATGATTTTTTGAAAGCGAAGAAGTTAACATTGGGAACAGAGGAAACCTTAGATCTTTGGTCTGTATAGTCCATTGTTATTTATGAAGAGCAAAACTTTATTGGGGAAGTGGGGTGGAGGATTGTGAATTGTAACCAGAATTAAATTTATGATTAATTCCAGTTATATAAGCATAAACACTAGAAATCTTAAGTCTTTTCTGTATGAGTCATTATCTCTGTAGAAATATTATGATATTGCAGGCCTACTTGCAGCTTGTACTAGAGATGGGTGGAGACTATGGATTTCCGTAACAAATAATTTGTTCAGCCTTAACCCAGTGGAGTATAATTGCTCTCCTATTCTTTAACAAAGACTAGAGAGAAGGCCAGAATAAATTCCATATCCGAGCTGCAGATAACTGGTAACCACTAGATGGCAGTAAAGAGAATCAGAAACAGAAAAGCTGGGGGGGGGGAGTTTAAATAAAAGGGAAGCATTCACACCACTGCAGAATGGAAAAGCTTGTTTATATCTAAACAAGAATATACTCTGCCACCCACAAGCCCTTACTTCTTTCATGTTAATTTTGCAAGAGTTGAAATGAAAAACATAAAGACCATATACTGTTTCTGAAAAATCTATACACAACCTCTGATGGTGATTGTTTAGGTATAGCAGTAATTGTACTCTGCAGTGTAAACTCAGGAACACTTCAGGCATCCTTCAATCAAACTGGGAATTAGAAATAACAAATAGAAATCTTCCACCGTGCCAAGTTCAAATACCAACTCAACATATTACCAATTATTCCCTTTTATTCATTCGTACTATATACTTTAAAGTTACACTGTCAACTTGACATTTTTGAATTAGATTAATTTTGGGGGGGAAGTCTTGCTTCTGACAAAGGAGTCTTTTAGAAATAATTATTGTACAACATACTAGTTAAACTCATATATTAAAAATACGTTTTTCTGCTCTCCTGGTGATATTATAAGTGCTTGATATTTCCTTCACACTGAATAATGAAATAATTAACTATAAGGCTAATCATTAAGGAGAGATACCAGTGCAGCTAATGATAGTCAACCATTCTGAACAGAGAAATACAAAACATTGTTTCTCAGATAGTTAGGCTGGCAAATAATGCAAGCATTGTGCTTTTATGATTAGCATATCTTGTTGGTAACAGAACTATGAAGAGTCAAGTCTCTGGATTCCTCAGTTAAGATAAGGCATCTCTGCAATGACTAATGGAGATACATTTGGGGTATGAGTGCTTGTTCAAGTGAAATGAGAGCTGAGTACATGAATATAAGAAGAAAGATGCAAAAAAGTTCACTGTGTCACTGCATAAAATGCTTTTTAACATGAAAATATGCTGGAGCCCATTTATGAATTGGAACAGGGTTTTAGCAAATTAGCTGTAGCATCAACATGATGTATTTCAAGTTTTATACATGCAGAATAATAACAGATTAATGTGATCTTTTGTACCTGATTCCAGATTTGTGCAAGCAGGAAGACAGTACAGAATGTTAATATTTCTGCTGTATTTCTATTTCCATTTCCATATTGCAGACGTTACCCCACAGTTGAAAAGCGAGCACAATTTTTCAATGGGCCAAGTTATGTGCCAATACCAGAAGACGGTCCTTTCCTTAAAGCATTACTTTTTCAATTGAGGCTGACAGATGAAGGTCAACACTTTGCGGAGTGTAGAGATGGCTGTTCCAGAATCAACAAGACCTCAGTGTATACACTGCAGGTTGAAAGGAAGGATCTCTGGCCTGTGGTAGCTTTCCGGAAGAGTGGATTGATTTATGTTGGCCTCCCTTTAGTTGAACAGTCCCTTATGCCACGACCATCTCTCTTCAGTATCAGTGGAATCTCTCAGGCTTTTGACTTCTTGTCAGGGCTCCTGGCTTTTATGAACTCTAATCAGAAGAGTGAAGCAGAGAGGAGTGCCAAAGTTGCCCAACTTCCAAGTTTGGTTATGCAGGCCTGTCCTCTGGGCACTCCACTAGATGCAAATTTAAATGGTTCATTGGAAAACAGTCACGTTGCTGTAAGTAGTCACACTCAGAAACCACCAGCTTGGAGAAGCAACACGTACAAGGGAAAACCTCAAGTTAATATCTGTATCATTGAAAAAGTCAAATCTGTCCAGTATGACCAAAGGGATGTGGCAGACATGTGGCAAGTTTATGGAACTATAACATGCAAGGTGAGATGATTCCTATTGCAAATCTCTATAACCTATTTGACACATGGATGCATCTGGAAAAGCAACAGTTCAGCTCATCTTAGTGTGTAGAGAAGCTGAACTTAATATTTTTAATGCTTCAGCATGCCAAAGGAAAGATACTGGGGTTTTTTTAGGCTTGGTTCATTCTGGTAAATTAAAACAATGAAAATCTCACTTTACAGTTATGCTCTTGCATATCTTGCTCTTAGTTTTGTTGGTAACAGCACAACCTGCTAAAATTTTTATCAGTTTTACATTGATTTTTATTTACTTACCAAATGTATATATTTCAGTATACAATGTTTCATATGCAGTTCACATACACACACACATACTCATAATAGCCTTATTAAATTGGTCAAATTGAGAATCAGTAATCCATTTCTGACATATTATATACTCCTATAAATCGACAAGGAAGAGTTGAAGAGTGAAAAAGCAAAAAGAGTAAACTGCTCTAAATCTGATTTGCCTGTACATTTGGAAGTCCAATTATGGTTAATTTAAATCATGTATTGATAGAGTGTTTGATTGGAGTAGAAGCACTGACAATGTAATCTAATGTGTGCAGTCAAAAATAAGTGCTACTTTTTTCAGTGTGTCATACTTAAAAAAATTAGACTGCAATTTGAGTGTGTTTGACAACTCAATAGAGATTTGAACCTTTATTTTTTTTTACGTAGTGAACATTTACGTAGTGTAAATGACGAAGTCCAGGTTGGAAAACAAATTTAGATGTTACCTATTTACATATGCAGTAGATAATAATACTTTTACAAAAAGGCTACAACGTTATAATAAAGAGGAACTATAATCCTATGCCATAATATGCATGGATTCTATAAATCATTTACCATCAATTTCTATTAAAAGAATCTATAGACCTTGGCAAAAACAGAACTCTTGCTTGATATTTTGAAGGCTGTTGCTAATCAGAGTATATTATTGTGGTTGCATGAATCACTCACTATACTTTGTATAAGGCAACATTTATAATGGTTGTAATGAATTGACGTTAAACATCAGTTCTTGTATTTGCTGTGCTTATATTTTGTAAGGAAATAATTTAAAAGTTCTGATTTGAAAACTAAAAATATGATATAATACTAAGATTCATTTTAATAAACAATAAACAAACGATGTTTGTCCACTCCTTACTTTAAGCAAGAAAAAAGATTTCCCCTTGCCATAAGATAGTACATGATTTATTGTAAGAAGTGTTAAATTAGGCTGCTCACCAATAATTTCCTATTCTCCTATGTTTTTGTGTTTGAAGTGTGATATAGAAGGCACTGCTCCCAATGTGACTGTTGGTTTGAACCTCCCTGCCAATGGTTCTCCTCTCCAAGATATTTTGGTCCACCCCTGTGTAACATCCCTTGATTCTGCTATTCTGACCTCCAGTAGTGTTGATGCAATGGATGATTCAGCTTTCAGTGGACCTTACAAATTCCCTCTGATACCGCCTTCAGATCTGTTTAATCTCTGCTTTTACACTTCCCAGGTAAATTTTCAAGATTTGTAATAAACCAGTCAGGAACAACATCAATTGTTTACCAAAGGCTCCTACTATCAAACTAGAAAAAACAGTTGATAGGAAAGTTTGGAAACACTTGTTAAGCATATTGAAATAACAATGCCCATCTAAATTTATTATGAAAAAAAAAAGCCTTAAATTGAATTTTTAATGAGTAATGTTTTTACATGTGAGTTGATTTTTACCTAATTTTCATCTCTGAAAGACAAGGCAGTCCCAGTATCTTCCTTGGCAATAGCTTGGCTTCTCAACATGACAGATGATCCCTTCTAAACTATGTGATTCTGAAAGGAATTTTCAAGTTAGCAATGGCCCTCCAGCTCATTACATGCTTTGTGTGGTGTTAGGAGAGCTTTTGGCCTTCATCCTAGAAATATTTCCAGCACCCTGCTGATCAGTGGTTTAGAGAATCTAGCTTGCAAATGAGTTGTTAATTCCTATTTTCCATTAGAATTAAGCACTCTCTGCCTAATTATCTTACTGTTTAGCAATCACAGAGTTTATATCTGACATCTGGAAGCTGTCATCCTATTTTAATTCATTTTATTTTATTTTAGAATGTGCACCCTTATCACATACTTCCAAAAGAAGCCTAAGGGTAGCTTTACAACATACTAAAAATGGAAACTAGCAATTTATAGAATACATTAAATGATTTTAATTTAGAAATATAACAAATTCAGCTATTTATCTCTGTGCATCCCAACCAGGTACCTGTTCCACCTATTTTGGGATTTTATCAATTGAAAGAAGAAGAATCACAGTGGAAGTTCACAATTCACTTGAAACTTCATGAAAGTATGAAAAATACTTTTGAATACTGCAAAGCTTATGTTCCCTTTTTTAATAGGTAAGAATAATCCTTCCCTCCCTCAAATCAACAAAACAAAGACTTCTTTGTAGAGATTGTTGTTTGGGGAGTACTTGAAAAATCTCTATTTATAGAAAAAAAAAATTGGCCAGAGTAGCTGAGTGTACTACTTCAAGAAGGTAGGAACCATTTTATTGGTCTGTCAGACACCTGGTACACCCTATTGGGTTTTTAGATGATGCTTGAGGAGGTTTCTGACTATTTATCATACTCAGGCCTTGGTTTCCTCTTGGAGTCAGAGGGCGGCTGGAGTCTTGGATCTGATTACACCTTGTGGTATTTTCCTGCCTATGAAGCCCTGTGGTTTTCAGTGGAGCTCTGAGAGATGAAGCAGCAGAGTACCACTGGAGGAAGGTGAAGGACACATATGACTGAACACAAATAAGGGCCTTTACTAAGGATGACATGACAATAAGAGTGGCAAAATGCCAGTATTTTTCCTCTCATCTTTCCTCTGCATTTTATCACTCCATGGCCCTGTTAAAGATAATTTTAAACAGGACCACGGGGAGAGAGAAATGATTCAGAAAATCATCTGGAGGGCTGTTGTGACAATTTTTTTCAAGACATCTGGCAAAATCATTTAGATTCACTCTGAACTGGACTCCAACTGTTGAGTTAATTAATCATCTGTTATGTGGGAATATTTTTGTCCTGAGAAAGTGGACAGGCTCCTTGGGCCTGAAGATGTAAACTCAGTAGATCCCTCTTTGGTTGGTTAAAGCATTCTTTAGAGAGCCATGGTGGCACAGTGGAATACAGTCTTGCAGGCTAATTCTGCCAACTGCCAGGAGTTCGATTCTGACTGGCTCAACATCCTTCTGAGGTCAGTAAAATGAGGATCCAGATTGCTGGGGGAAATATGCTAAGCTTAGAGAGGGCTGTAAAGCACTATGAAGTGATATATAAGTCTAAATGCTAAGTACTTGGGTCTGAATAGTGGTGAATTCATTCTTAGATGAAGGAATGAATTTGCCTTAATAGTGGTCCATCCCTTCCTCAAGAAGCCATTCCTTGACCAAGTAGTGGTGGATAATTTCTGAATTGTCTCATGACTTTCCTTTTTGGGAAATGTTGAAAAGCAGTCAACCAGCAGCTTCACAAGCCTCTTGAGAAAACAGATTATAGGGATCTCTCTCAGTTGACTGAGCACAGTATAGAGATGACACTGATCATGCTTGTAGATGACCAGTGATGGAATCAAAATGGGGGTAGCGCATATATTCCCTCCCCACTCTTGTTTTAATATCTATCTGAGATTGCCAGATATCAACATGGGATGAGGTAGCAATATGCTGATTATAGCCAATTTATATCTCTCAGTGCTTGATGTCCAAGTGATGCTATTGAGGTTCTGACTCAGAATCTGAAAACTAAGGGGTTTTGATGGAGAGGAACATACCCAAACCCCACCCTAGCAAAATCAAGTCTCTCTGCTCTGATTTCTGTAGAGCATACTCAACGTATGCTCTACAGGTTGAGTGATTTTTTACTGTTTCTACATTTTCTACTTTCTCTAGAGAGCACCGTAATCTATTTCTGTAGTGCACCCATGGCTCCCAGCCCTGGGCTTTCAGTGCAATACAAGACAGTAAGCAAGCATCTGAGCATTCCAAAGGGCAGGAGAATAGTTAGGAGTAAAACAAAAGCCCAACGGGTAAAACTGAGTAGTCTTGTTTCCAGCCAAAAAAACACAGTCATAGTCATGTGATTCCCCACTTAGCAACCGCTTTGCTTAGTAGCGACGTGGCTGGTTCCATTTAGGAGCATTAAGCAAGGGCTACCTGTATACAGCACAACACAGCTAACTGGAATACTGAAATAGCACATGAAGCTTTGAAAAGGTGAAAATGGATGTTCAGGTAGTACCTAAATGAATGAATCGTGACTGAATTTTAGAAATAGTTCAGTGAATTACAAAATTGCAATGTGCTTTATTGTAAATTTTCTCTATTGCAATAATTTGAAATCCCAAAGCCATGACTTTAATGTGGAATTTATTTACTTACCAGTCTTCCAGAAAAATGGACACATTCCAGATGTAAGGTTTTTACATCACACAGTTACCACACAAACATGACCATTGCTGAGAATTCGGGAATTGAAATCCATATATCTGCAGGGCACCAAGAGTGGGAATAACTGATATAAATTGTTCATTTGTGTCAGACATAATTTATAGAAAAGGCACGTGCTGTTTTCTTAGTTGTTCAGAGATTACTCAAAATTGCTTTATTAAATAATAAAGTCATTTAGAGTCCCTTTCTGCAACAAGTAAATGCTTTGCTCTTCATCCTTAGAGGTCCTATTACTCACTTGGAATACAAAATCAGCTACGGCCAACTTGAGGTATCAAAAGAGAAAAGCTTGCTGATTTGGTTCATAGGTAAGTTAAATATATTTGGCACCATCTGATCCAAGGAAAGGCTCAACTTTGGAAACATCTTGCAGACTGCTTTGTTTACTAATGGACGAAGGAATTTATTTTGCGTTGTGCTTTATCATTTAATTCCTGACAATCCCAAATAAAATGGGAAAAATTCCTACCCAAAGGCTGCTGGAAGCTCTGTATTGACAATACTGGGCTTGAACAGAGCAATGCTAATATATAGCAGCTTCCCATGTTCCTAAAAGTATCCTAGAGATCTCTGATAAACCAAACAATTCCAAAGATAAATTCTTTCATTTAGGCCTTTACTTGTCTTCTCCATCTGGAAGGAAATTAAGTTGCTTTGTAAAGAGCCTTACCATCTTTCCAGAATTTTTTTCCAAAATAGCAGATGAGCTCAAAAGGCATGAGCAACCTTTTTTTTTTGCAGCTAAAAGTGCACTTTGGCGAGGCTTCATAACCACAGAATACATGGCAGTGTTGTGGTATCATCAGCTGACAGACCAACTATTTTGGCCCATGGAGATAGGATCAATACAAAAAAAAACCCCAACTATAAGGTTTAGCATGCTTATTTTAATCATTTTTGTCCAAAATTTCAACTGTGCAAACTTAAAAGGCTTTGAAAGATACCAAAAATTGGGAAGTGTGGCTGCAGTTAGGTGTAAACTACCCCTGCTTTATTATCTTCTTGGATCCCTTCTGTTTTTATTTGCCACATACAGTGCAATAATTCTGTTATCTATTTCTGAAAATTGTCTATTTAGAATTCTTCAAAAATCTTAATGGTACCTGGAGAAGTTTTATTTCTTGGTTATTTTGTCAGCTGTCTACCTCTTCTATGAACAACCTTGCAAGCCAGAATTATTTTGGCTTTTTTATCCTGATATATCTTGCAAACTTCCTGCTTTTTCTGAATTAGGCTCCAGTACCAAAAGTGAATCTGACCAAAAATTACACTGAAGTACATTGTGAGAAGATGTATTCTGAGTGGTAAAATAATCCTCCACCACACTACCTTTGTTCTTGATTTTTCCCCAATCTCTGTTTTATGAAGGACCAACATATCTGTTATCTTACATAGTTTATCCTGAAGAAGAAGTGCCATATAAATATTAAATAGTCCCTGTGGAATAATTCCTGTGAAATGTTTCTAGCCTCTCTTTTTTTTACTCTTAAAGGGCAAAAATTTCCCAAATCACTGGAAATTTCTCTTACCGGGAGTGTTGCTTTTGGTCCAACAAATCGGGATCAGCCAGTAGATGCTGTTTGTACTGGAAATACTGCATATGTCAAAGTAAGTTGCAATATTTAAGAGAAAATGGGGAAAACTAGATCTTAGCTATCTGGCTTTGCAGTCAGTGGGAAATGGTATCTGTGTGCTCAGAGGATGGAAGTTCCTAAGAATCTTTTCAAGAGATCTCATTTTCAGAATCAGAAATGAGAGTCACTGCATCTCTTTCTCAGTGTTCTTTGCTTGATTGTCTTTAGCTTTATTTCAAAATCTTGGATTTCACACTTACTGGATGTTACACAGACCAACATTCCATCCAGGTCTTCTCATCAGGCAAAGCAAAGATCAGTACAGGTGAGCATATTACATCTTTGGCAATTTAAATGTAAGCAAATACATTTGACTTCCAAACTTTTATGTCCGCTTGTTGTGTATTGGTCTGAAAATTTGAGTTTTTAATGAAGCGTGTATATGTTAGAATATTCTGTCTCTTTATTATGTCTTATGAAAGCATTACTTTTTTAATTTAAAAAAATAAAATGTATTTTGTACATTAGGATATAATCAATCTAAGAACTTTCTCAATTTCTTTGAATTTTAGCTCGTGAGGTACTTTCATCAGATTACTACATCTGGAATTCCAAAGCCCCAGCACCTGTTGTATATAGAACTTTACTTTTCTAAATTTTCTATTCAGTTTTGTACTAGGAAAAAATATATTGCCAAAGTATTTTACATCAGTTCAAAGCTTCTGTTCCAGGTAAAACAAAATATTAAATGATCATTTATCTATTATTTAAAATGTCTAAAGTTTTTCTGTGACTGTACTATTAGAGACGTTGCATGATATATAACTCTTAGACAATCAAACTTACCTGGTGCCAAATAGATTACTTGGAAAGTAAAATCTTTCTTGTGATTATTGTTGATTTTACTGTCATATTTCTGAACCTTAACTAAGTTGCTGCACATCATTTCTTCACATTGCTGGCCTTCAAAAAAAGTTTTGAAGAAACAAATTTAAAAGTACCTCTGACTATATACATACTGAAAAGTATTTTGCTTTTTACATTGAGCAACCACAGCCTTTTCCTACCAAATTAGATGTACTCCAGATGCATTGGATATATGAATTTAAACTGTAGGAAATATTCTTGAATGTGTAAATTTAATCTTGTTATACATAAGTTGCCAGCTTTCTTTGCTGCTTTTATTTCTGAGAGGAGCAGCAATTTATGCTGACAGCTACTTCACTCCTATCCTTATACTGACATAAAAATCATTGGTATACAACTTTCACAGACAAACTATAGTTTCCAGTCAGAAGTAGCTGAATTTATTCATGTGAAAACTCAGCAGCACTTTTTCGTGCAGCTGTTGATAAAAATAGGATTGCCAACATGATCGCCAATGTCCAATGACGGATATGGCACAAGAAGAAGAAGCCTATTGTTAAAATAATTTTAAATAATTTTAAAAACCTAGATTTAAGGTGTGTCCTAACTATTTTCTTAAAAGTTAAGTAGTGCAAATACAGTTCCTATGGAAGTTCATTCCATAGTACCGTATAGGGATGACAAAGGAAACGATCTTCTGTATCTGAAGAACAGACCTTCCAGAGGAAGAATGTATTTAAAATGTTTGCCTGAACATAATGATATCCAAACACTTCTTTAACACTGTTAGTCATTTGTCTGTTAAAGAATAAAACAGAATAAGCTCTTGATTTAGGACAAAAGAATTGTTTTTCAAAAGAAACTACTGCTGTGTTATACATAAAAGCTACTGTTCCGATTAAACTCGGGTAAGAAATCAGAGCTGAAATCGACATCTTTTAATTAAATTAATTTCAATATTAATGTTATGGGTTCTTAGTAAAATGAGTTAAGATCAAGAAACCTATGTTCTGATCCAGGCCATTTGTGAACAATGACATTTCAGTCCTATATCACTGCCTTATTATCTCCAGTCTGCCACCCAGCAGGTAGATGATTGTCCTCCAAAAAATTTGAAGTTGGCCACATGAAGGCTCAGTGCTATAATTTAACTCTGTAGTTACACTGATAATGGCAGCTCCTGGTTCAGTGAGATAAATATTGAATATGAAACAAGGCTACAGTGGAAGGGAGAAAATACCAACTATTGCTTTTATCATATTTCAGAAATTAAAAGGTTCATCTAGAAAACACACACACACAAGTAAGGCACTTCAACATAGTGGCTGCTGCAAATCACTCCAAGTAAATGGAAAGATAGATGCATTATAAAAAGCAATATATCCAAATAGTCCAAAATGAAAATGTGCCATCCATAAATATTGGCTCCAGTTGTGTCTTCTGAAAGAAAACCTGCAAGTCTGCAAATCTCATTCTGAACTATTTTATCAAAGTGGACAAACCAGTATTGACTAAAAACAGAAGGGAGAAGTGAAGAAAATTCATGCCTTTGTGTCTTTTTCTTTTATGAATTGTTTAGACCAGGGGTGTCAAACTCAAGGCCTGGGGGCTGGATCTTGCCTATGGAGTACTTAGATCTGGTCCACAGGACCGCCCTGGAAACAGTGAAGGACTGGCTGCGGTGCTTCTACCAGCAAAAATGAGCTCCTGAGCTCCATTTTCGGCTGCCACGGCCTCCTGCAACCCTCTGCCAGTAAAAATGGAGCTCGGGAGGGCTGCGCACTCAGGCCACCACAGGTGCTCCCGACAGGAGTGATGTCGAGGTAGTCATGCTCCCCCCCACCCACCCCCCAGGTCAAAAATAACCCTGATGCGGCCCTCAATGAAATCAAGTTTGACACCCCTGGTTTAGACACAATGGTTTTTCCCAAATCTCGATAACTGCGAGTGCATCTGTGCCATCACTGGCAGTTTTTCTAGACACCACTCTTACATTAAAACTACATTCCAAGACACCAAAATACATTACAGCAGAACATGGATGAAACAGCTGTGATGGGCAGTCAGAAACAATTGTATCCAGCCTCCCACATTCTCTCATCTAACATATTAATAGCAACATGTCCATATCATTGTTCCGAAAAACAAGAAACTGATAACATTCCTATATATTTTGGGTTTCCTCACCTCACTATATTCTTCAGTGTAATTTTTGTTTGTTTTTTCAAATTTGTTAATGGAACCTTCTTACAAAAAACTCTGTTACACATCAGGAACGAGTCTTAAAACCTAGAGTGCTAAAAAGACGAATGCCTTTCCTAATTGGCATTAATATACCTATTAAGTTGATCCTGTTTTGAAATAAATCAAAGACCACAGATGTGACGTATTAATTCTGTTTAAAAAAAAACAAAACTGGTATCTTTCTGAAGACAAGAAATTGAGGTGCAGTGAATTATCAGAAAATGAACAAACCTCCACAAAGTTATTAGAAAAAGCCTTGGGAACCTGGAGAATAGCACAAAAGAAAGACAAATGGCTTCTCAAATCATAAGATATAATGACACATGTTTTGTTTAACAGTATGCTAGGGGATAAATAATATTAGTGTTTGTATGTAGTGGAAAAATTTTAAAAGTATGATAATTTTAAAAAAATACCCCCGTTTGAGATTGTAATCTAATAGCTGGTTAAACATAATAAAACATAGCTTGATTAGCACAAACCATGCTGCTTAGCTGAAACTGTTTGGCCAAACTTCTAAAAAGACAACCAGGGTGAACTGAAATTAAAAAATCTGTCTTTCTCAAAGATAACATCTAGGAGATACCACCTGTGCAGATGTTAGTTGCTTCTTGAAAGAAGGAGGGAGTGGGGCACATAGGCAGACAAACCTGTGTACTCCAGCCTAAATCCTTTGTTGTGCATAGATTCACTTACTGCATGTTACATTCAGTTAATTTACGTAAAGAGATATATTTGATTCTGGATTGGACCACTGGAGTTCATGTAAGCTTTTCCTTGTTACAAGGATTCTCTCAGTTATAGCCTAGCTTCTGTATTTAGCTATCGTAATTTTATATAGATAGAATGGTAATGGTGCACGAAAGGCTCATCACATAAAGGGAGAGGTTTCCTAATTATGAGAGTACATTCAAACAAATGTTCCCTTCTGCATTCTGAAATGGGAGAGCTGAACCATTGGATGGCTCTCAGTTCTGAAAACTATGGCAGATTAATAATAATGTCCTTATACAGGAGATAATTAATGGTCAAAACAGATACAATGTAGGAGATATTTTTCTCCTAAGATACTGCCCAGGAAAAAAATTAAAAGCAGTTATGAAAAAATAGAATTGGATGAAGACAAATGATGGATTGATATGTTTTCTCCTATTCATTGTTCACAAAACTAGGACTGGGCCTAATAACTATAGAAGTAGGTCCTTGTTTGGTAACCATTCACAATTATGACAGTGATGAAAAAGTAGTATAATCCTTGCGTTTACAGCCTTTGCAGGACTGAATGTTGAAGTCAAATTATAGAATCTTGATGTTTCACTTAGTGACTGCTTTGCTTAGCAACCATGTTCCAATTTTGGTCGCTAAATAAGAACTACCTGTATTATGACTTGGCTCTCTGTGGAGCTAATAATCACCAGCAGGAAACTATTTCAAAAGTTAAATTACATATAAATTTCATTACCATAATCTAGACTGTCTTGCCAACAGCTGTTTCAGTTCTTTTTAATAATTACATTAGAGCAAGATTCAAATTTTCAAATGTCAAATTCAAATTCAAATTTTCAAATGTCAAATTCAAATTCAAATTTTCAAATGTCAAATTCAAATTTTCAAATGTCAAATTCGCGGCCCACGGGCTGGATGCATCATGTGCTGGCCACACCTACGCCCAGTTTAGCAAAAGGGGAAAAGTCGTGATACGTCACGTGACAATGCCGTGATGACAGAGTTTGACACCCCTGCATCAGAGTTACATTCATTTCTGTTTGGGCTCAAATGTGAAGTGTTTTCACATTTCATTTCAGCATTTCCCTATATCACTATTTTAAACTTTTTTTTGGCTACCTAGTACTTTTCTTCTCTCATGGACCTTTAAAGAGGCTTCCCAGGCACTCTTTTTTCTCTAGGGGAATTACCTTTACTAATACACCATAGCAAAATATTTCTATTATGAATCTCTGGGTTTACATATTGTCCTAAGCTATAGTATAGTTGCTTTCATTTTCGATTCAATTGTGTGAAAATTCAGTAACAGTGGGCTGAAAACTATGGTTTATTTCTTAGTGTGGATTGAACCCAGCCCCCGTGAGTTATTTCACAAATCATGATTTCACACGTCAGAGATTGTGACTTATCCACCATCTAGCATGCTGAACCTTGCATGCAGTTGGCTGGGAAGCAGAAGAGATATTTGCTTCAGTCAGTAATTCTAGTAGAACATTTGAGTGTGTGAAAGTTACATTAATATGAGCATTTATCAACGTGACCATTCCATCTTTAGCTAATGGAATATACGTCCCCAGATTTTGGTGTTTTCTGACTTTTTTTCTTTTTCCTTCTCTGTCCAATATTCAATTGGACAGATATTGTCTGTCCAATTGAATCTCTGTCCAATATTCAATATTGCTTAACAGGGCATTGTAAGCCGCCCTGAGTCTCCGGAGAAGGGCGGCATATAAATCAAATTTTAAAAAAAATTAAATACACAGAGAATTAGCTTATTCTCTAATATCTAATGACTATTCTTCAAATAGTATCGGTCTTACTTGCTATCCTGTCTATTAACTAGATACTGTTTTAAAATAATCATTTCGGCATTCAGATGTTTGCGAAAAACAACATCCAAGAAAAATAATCTGTGAAAGTCTAAGGGAAGAAGTGTTCTAATCAAAATAAAGTTGGTAGCTGACATTTTCTGCTTCAGTGATAAAGACAGTTCTTCGCCTCAGAGTTAGTGTCATATTGCTCAATAATTCTCCCCACTGTCCATGCCACTCTCCCTTAGTTGGAAGCATGTGAAAATTGACCTTGAAAATAATTTCTTGTAAGTCAATTGAAAGGTCGGCAGTTCAGCGTTTCGAATCCCTAGTGCCGCATAACGTGGTGAGCTTCCATTACTTGTCCCAGCTTCTGCCAACCTAGCAGTTCGAAAGCACATAAAAAATGCAAGTAGAAAAATAGGAACCACCTTTGATAGGAAGGTTAACAGCGTTCCGTGCGCCTTTGGCATTTAGTCATGCCGGCCACATGACCACGGAGACGTCTTCGGACAGCGCTGGCTCTTCAGCTTTGAAACAGTGATGAGCACCACCCCGTAGAGTCGGGAACGACTAGCACATATGTGCGAGGGGAATCTTTACCTTTTTAGAGGGTTTTCTGCATGGAAGGCACTTCACTATTTTGCTGTTATCCCCAGAACCTCCTCCTCTACTATACACAACTGAGTGAATGTTGGGGATGAATTAACAGCTGATCTTCAGGAAAAGACAGAAGAAAGTAGAAGACACCTGGTTGGATGACACCACCCAGAGGGAAATTCTGACATTTTGGTTTGGGGGAGTGTGGTGGGGGGAGGAATACCCAGGACCCTCTTTAGGGAGGTCCCATCATATTACAGGACAATGCTAGCTACGCCTGTATGTATTCCTTGCAAATCAGTTGGTCATCCCTAGGCTGCTTTTGATTCTGTCTAGAAACCTATCTTTTCGAGATAATTTCTTTCACAAAACAAAAAGAGAGGGAGGGGGGAAGACAAAAGTCTGTTGCCCGTTTGGTAGGTGACCTGTTTAATGTTTTCTCTGTGTCT